GAATTGATTCATGGTACAATGCTAGAATTGAGGGCACTGGGATTAAGGGTGTGAGTACTACCTGCCCTAAGTAGCCTGGATAAGATATAAGGGATAGAAAGAGTTATAGTTGTTCCTTCTTTGCTTTTGCTGTCTTTTGCCTGCCATGAACTGCAATGCTTCTCTGCCAGCCTGCCTTGGAGCCAGCCAATTATGGACTGCAATCTCTACAAACTATGAGCTAAATAAATCTTTCCTCCCTTAACTGTGGGTATTGAATATTTTGTCTCAGTAACAAGAAAAGTAACTAAGACAGCAGGCTTTGAACAGGCTAGTTGGAATAATTCCAGTGCACTCTGCGATATAGGACCTGTATTTAGCTGTCTGGTATTGAGCCTTGTAGTTACTAGAGCAGGGGAATAGTGGCCTACAGCTAAGGAACTGTTGGAGTTAGGTCGTCTGGATTGGCCGGTTTGATTATGAAAGATGCACTCAAGCATGATTTGTTTACTATCTCTAGGAATTAGCTCTAGGAGTCAGCAAGACTTTGCCAAAACATTAAAAATGAGGAAGGAGAAAACATGGTTAATAGACATACCAACTGCACAGGAAGTCAGAGGTTAGATTTAAACAAGCACTTCACCACAACTCTCATCTCATCTGACCAAGAGTCTTCTCAGGAAGATTTTTTTCTGAGAATTTGCTAGCAATGGAAACTGGAGTTATGGAAATAACATCTTATTGTCCAAGATGTTTCAGAGAATAACCATAAATCAGTTCCTTTGAACTTATAACACTTGGAAATCCCCACATTATGTGTCCATTCCCTAAGTAATGTTGTCAATTAATTAAAGTTCAGCTACATGCATCTGAAAATCAAATTAACAAATCAAATTTGTCTTTTCATGTACAGTCTGAAGCAGGCAGTCTAGAACAGATATGGACCTTGGCTCCACTAAGTCTTCAGAGACCTAGCTCGTTGGTGCTCAGGCTGAGATTTCTGGAGTTCTTTTGGTTTTCATGATTGAAGATGGAGGAAACTATGTTCCAGGCAAAATAATGGACGCAAGAACAAAAAATAAAAGAATAAGAGTCAGCTGTCTTTCAAAGGTGATGTCCAGAGTTATCATGTGAACAAGTCAGTTTTAGCCTGTTTGCCAGAACTTAATCACATGGTTATATCTAGATGCAAAGAAACCTGAAACATATAGTTATTATTTAGTTCAACTAAAAATGAAAGGTTCTTAGGATTAAATTTGGGAGACAACTAATGGGTTCCTTCACACATTCTGCTCTGAGTTTTGGTAACTTACATGTTTATATTCTTTTCTCTTTTATGCCATCACTACTAACTCCAAAACTAGTTGGCTAGGCACTTTCAAGTCTTTCTAAACTTCACTTTTTCTCTTACTTTCCATATTCAAGCCAAAACTAAGGCTGGCTTAATCTACTGCTTCAATCTCTCTTGAGCAATTTCACAGAAGGGTTCTTATTGGAACCTACTATCTGGTCTACCATCCTCAGCTTTACTACTCCTTCCTCCTACCCAACACCCAACACTCATTCCAAATCTGCATCAGAAGCCATTTTCCAAAATATTCACCTGAGAATGTCTCTTCCTACATAGAGCCCTTCAGGGACCACACTGGCATGATTTATGAGGTCCTCCCTGATATATAATTTCTTTTTATTTCTCTCATTGTTGTAGCTTATGTCTAGATGTCCTCCCAAAGCCTCATGCAGTCTTTTTCAGAAGTGGCTGAATCTGGAATGCATCATGCTATGATTAAGGGGCGTGATTACTAAACCACTGCACATGAGTAATTGGTTTGACACTACCCTAATCCCTATAGTCGGGTTGGGATAAAATGGGGAGAAAGATGCTGTTAGGGTTTCTTGCTGCTTTTGCTGTCTTCCACTGCCATGAACTGTTGCCCTCCTGCCATATACCATCTTGCCTTGGAACCAGTCAATAGTAGGCTGAAACCTCTACAATCTGTGAACTAAATAAACCTTCCCCCCTTTAACTTTGAGTCTCGAGTATTTTGTTTCAGCAACTAGAGAAAAGTAACTAACACAGAATTTGGTACCAGGAGTGGTGTTGTTGCTGTGACATTACCTGGCTATGTAGCTCAAGAACCTCTGGAACTGGCTTGTGGGAGAGGAAGAGTTAGGAAAGGTTTGGAGTTGCTGGCTGAAGAAGCAGAGATGGAACACCTTACACTGTTCTGTATGCGAGATTCTGGTCAGAGTTCAGAAAGCCAAAAAGCCAGTAAAGACCAGGCTCAGGAGGTCTCTCCAGACAATGAGTGTTATGCCCTGGCAGAAAGTTTGTCCGCATTTTTCTCATGTCCAGAGACTTTGCCTGAAACTCAGATTAAGGTGGCAGACTAATTAATCTTGCAAAGAAATTTCAAGGCAGTCTAATGTTAAGGCCATGGCATGATTACTGTGTGGGGCTTTTAGCCAGATCTAGTTGAGAATCAAGAGCAAAGAGCCCAGCAGCATCATTTGAAATGTTTGGAATTTGGCCAGAAAAGAAGCTCCAGTAAAGGTGTGGACTGCAAATATAGAGCAGAGGAAATCTCAATTGCTGAGAAGGAACAAGAGAATAGATAAGATGGCCTGAGAGGACCAGAAGGAGCAGCAAGACTCCAGTATTTGCAGCCTCAAAATTGCAAAAGTGAAAGACTTTGCTTTGAGAAGAAAGCCCCAGAGCACATGTTTCAGAAAAGTGGTGGCCTAGGGAAGTTGTTTTCAAATGGCAGCTTAGGGAAATTGTTCCTTGGGATTTTGTTCATAGGAACTGGACCTCTACAGCCAAGAGAGAAGGAAGCCTGTCTACAGCTGTACCTGACAGCAGACCTTGGCATCATCCATGTGGTACTGGTTTTAGGTACATGCAGAATGCAAGAGTTGTGGAGTCAGGAAGGCTTCCGCCCAGGTTTCAGAAGAAGACCTGGGAGGCCAGGCAGTGTGCCCCTGAGAAGGCAGTGTGTGAAGCTGTGAGTGTGAAGACCACACAAGTTTAAAGAAGTAAAGAGTGTGGATCATCTGAGGAAAACTGCAAGGAAGAAGCAAATCAGCTCAAGAGAGAAGGCATGTGAGCTACAACCACTACAAGTGCCATAGGGGTGGAGCCACCCAAGCCCTTTGAAGTTCACATCTTGCCACAGATTTCTGGGGGTGCTGGAAGTGGAACTGTGCGATTTAATGTTTGCCCTGCTGGATTTTGGTGCTGCTTTGTTCCCATTCCTTTGTATCCCTCTGTTTGTAACTTTTGGAATGGAAATGGGAAATGTCTCCTGTGCCATTGAATGTTGGAAGTGTTCAACTTTCTTTCATTTGGACAGGGGCTGGCAGCTAAGAGTTTGCCTTAAAGCTCAGGGGAGACTTTGGACTTGGGCTTTTCAGCAATGCTGAAACTGTTAGGACTTTGGTAACTCTTGGAGAGGGACTAAATGCTTTTTTGCATAAAAGGATATGCATGAGTGTTTGGGGGGCCAGGGGTGGAATGTTGTGCCTTGTGTCCAGATGTCACCCAAAGCCTCATGCAGTCTTTTTCAGAGGTGGCTGAATCTAGAATGTATGATGCTGTGATTAAGGGTGGGTGACTACTAAACCACTACACACGAGTGATTGGTTTGGCACCATCCTAATCCCAGTAGTCTGGATGGAATAAAAGGAGGAGAAAGACATTGTTAAGGTCCCTTGTTGCTTTTGCTGTCTTCCACCACCATGAACTGTTGCCCTTCTACCATTACATTCCTGCCTTGTAGCCAGCTGATAAAGGACTGAAATCTCTACAAACTGTGAGCAAAATAAACCTTTCCCCCTTTAACTTTAGGTGTTGGATATTTTGTCTCAGCAATGTAAGAAAAGTAACTAACACATTCACCTTGTCTGCTGGCTCCTACATATACACCTCCACACTACAACAACTATACTAGATGTCAGTCCTACCAGAGTTTAGTGACTCCACACATTGATGCGTGTTGTATTATCTTGAATGTTCCTCTCTGATCTTTTTATCTCAAGGCTTGTCATCTTTCAAGGCTCAGGTCTACAGTATCCATTGTGGGAAGTATTTCTTGACCCTCATTCCTGGCACAAGATGGGAACTGCTTCCTTGGTGACCCCCTAGCCTTGTCCATATCCACCTGCTCCCACATGGAGTAGTGATTTGTTTACACATTTATCTATCATAACAGGTTCTGGGTTTCTACAGGATAAGTACCACATCTTACTCATCTTTGGAGAACTAGTACTAATAGTGTCTGCCAAGAAATGGGTATTCAGTAAATGTTCACTAAACAAATCCTAGCTGGGAATGGTGGCACACACCTGGAATCTCAGCATTGTGGTAGGCTGAGGCAAGGGGATTGAAAGATTGAGCCCAACCCAGGAAATTTAGTGACTTATTAAGATCCTATTTCAAAATAAAAATAATTTTTATCAAAAGTGCTGAGGTTATAGCTCAGTACAAAGGTCTGGGTTCAATGCCAATACTATTAATTAGTTTTTTAAAAAGCAAATCCTTCACTGGGAGTGGGGTTGGGGGAGTCATTCTCTGAGCCCAGAGCCCCTGCAGCACATAAGCAGGCTTGTCTTTGCTGTCTCTCTGCTCTCGAGTACCAGTTAGCAGGTATCACAGCCAGAATCTCAACTATGAACTGGGCACTACTGGGCCAGGAGTCTGGCCTCAGAGACAACTGTTTGGAGAGACATCCATATACTTGTGAGTGCTCATTTGTAAAACAAGGAGGTCAAAAGCTGCTATTTCACACCAAATATTTAAAAGTCAAATGATGACTTCTGTGGATGAACTAACCAATCTTCCTTTTTATTGTGTAGTTTGATCATGATTCTATCCTAAACTATACCACTGTGAAGACATGGCACATCAAAGTCTGTGCTATCTGCTATGAAGACTTGGATTCTGTGTGAATATTACACCCCCTACTCTGATCCTCAAAGCAACTCTGGCACTTTTTCAGTCCATAAAATAATGACACTGCTGATTGATTGATTATTATTATTTAGAGACTGGGGATTGAATCCAGGGCCTATAAATGTTAACCATGTGTTCTGCTTACCGCACTACATCCCCATTCCCCCAAGTTTTTAGGCTAAGATGGTTTGAACTTACTTACATGGCGCATTAAGACATTGGCCACTTCTGATAGCAGGTGAGTGATGTAAGTGATGGAGTAAAAGGTGGCCCAGAAGGCCCCAAGGAAGGGAAACCTATTTATACTAAGACCATAGGGTCTGGCCATTGCTGTGGGGACTGGCTTTCAAGCCTGCTGCTGAGCTCTACACATGATCTTTGGGGGATCTGCTTCAGAATGCTGCCTCTACCTCCTAGCTTTGCCATTTTCCAGCTTTGTAATGTCAGGCAAATAACTTACCTGTTTTATGCCTCCATTTCTTTATAAATTAGGGATAACACACTAGAGTGACTTGATTATGAAAGTTAAATTACATAATCTAGGTAAACAGCCTAGCATAAAGTCTGATCCAGATCAACTGTGCTCTAAATATTCATTGTTAATTACATTGTGATTAAGAATAGACTCACTGGGCTGGGGATTTAGCTCAGTGGTTCCGCCGCCTGTCTCACAAGCTCAAGGTCCTGAGTTGGATCCCTGGTACAAAAAAAAAAAAAAAGAATAAACTCACTATCATAGAGCCAGATGACCTGGGGTCAAATCCTGACCCCACCATTTAATAGCTTTGTGTCCTTGAAAAAGTTTTTTAACTTCTCTGGGTCTCAGTTACCTAATTGGTAAAATAGAGATGATACTAAGTTATTGTGAGCAGTAAATGATGCAAAGCATGTCAAGTGCTTAAAACTGCTTGGCATTAAAGGCCAGCCTCCAGATTGGTGCTTTTTCCAATGGTGACTTTGAATAAGATACACATGACCTAGCTAGTGATATTGATGGCAGTAATTAGGGTTAGCATTAATACTGATAACAGTAATAAGCAGCGGCAGCATTACTTTTTACTAATAGCAGCTTACATGTATTACAGGTTTTCTCTGTGCTGGTACAAAAACATGAATGGAAGTTTTCCTATCTCCCTTCCTTCCCCTGCCCCCATAAAGCTCACCTGACCTCCCCAAGAGACTGACCCTGAACCTAGCCAAGGACAGGCCATGTCCTTTTGCTTACTAGGATTTATCCATCTTTTAGCATGATGCCTGGCACACAGTAGTTACTCAGTAAATATTTATTGTAGGCATGCACTACAACAGCGCTGCCATATGTTGCACAACCTAAGGGGTTATGTATGATGTGCAGGCTGTCCCTAGAATAATGTTCTTCCAAGCTCCAGGTGTGCTTGTGCAACCTCCATATGAGATTCTACGCTAGTGCCAGAGTATGAATTGTTTCAGGATTATACTTGCAGAGTGGCTCACTAATTTGAATTGCATTACCAAAACTTCCTGGCCTCTAGAGTTAATAATCCGTAATAATCAGAATATTTACTCATATTTATATGTTGGCCACTGAAAACCTGTGATTGTTTTTCAATTAAAAATTTAAATTGATACATAAAACACAAAAATTGTACATACTAATGGTACCGTGTGGTATTTCAATATATGCATACATTATGCGACGCTTAAATCAATTTCAATATATCTATCTCCTTATGGTGAAAACATTCAAAATCCTTTCTTTTAGCTTTCTGAAACATACAGTATATTATTGTTATCTATAGGCATCTTACTGTCCAATAGCACACTAGAACTTCTTGCTTTTAATCTAACTGCAACTTAGGACCCATTGACAACATTTCCCCATTCTTCCCCCAGCCTCTGGTAACCACCAGTCCAATCTCAACTTCTATGAGATTGACTTTTTTAGATTCCATATGAGTAAAATTGTGTGGTCCTTGTTTTTGTAGGCCTGGATTGCTTCACTTAACATTATAATCTCTAGCTCCATCCACATTAACACAGATGACAGGATTTTTTTTTATGACTGAATGTATCCCATTGTGTATATGTACCACACTTTATTTATCCATTCATTAGTGAATGGACACTTAGGTGGTTTCTATTTCTTAGCTATTGTACACAGTGCTGCAGTTAATAGGCATTCAATAAATGTGTTATCCAGTGAAATTATTCTTTGGAGCTATTTCCAAGGTTTTCATATCCCTGGCAATGCACTTTAGTAAAATGTAGATGAGAGAGCAGTGCCTTTCTTTTGTAGCATAGGAGAAGGAAGATGGAAAAGGGAGAAGTAGAAGATAAATAATCCAGAGCCCAAAGTGCTCTGATGCAGGTCAATTTTAAGAACTTGTTAAGAGGAAAGTTGGAGACAAACAATTGAACGCTTCAATGCCCAATACCCCTTTTGAAGTCTCCATATGTCTTGTGGGGTACACATATCCCAGTTTGAAGACTGGCCTTTATCTCATTAATCAGAGATGTGGTGTTATTGTTTGAATGGAGAAAAGGCGTGTTGGCATCAGGAAGAGCCAGGAGAAAAGCTTCTTTGGATTTTAATCACTCCAGGCTGGAAGCTTCCCAAACCAGGATCAACCTAAAAAGAAATGTTGAAAGAAAAATTCATATTTTAACTCAGTCCCACAGAAGAAAAACTTGGAAAGCAGCTATGTGGAAGGGCATGGTTATCTGAACTTCATATCAAACATCAAGGAAGCCAACACCAGAGATTGTGAAATACATTGAAATTACATTAAGTCTCCAAGTCAAGATACTTAAGGAGGACACACACAGAGATTCAGACCTATTAATTGATTAACACATTCAGATATTCATGGAATGGCCAAGATGTGCCTGGCACAGTGTTGGATATTGGATATAACAGCAAATTATACCTAAGCAACTCACCTTCATGCACTTTGGACTTGAAGCCGAGGTAGCCATTGTTCTAGGTGCTGTACTAAAATATATTTTTTAAAAATTCTATTTCAGCCACAAAAGGAAACCTCATGATTTGGGTTGGGGAGGAAGAAATGATACAAGAGAATTAAAGTCTACTACTTCCTGTTTTTCTAGTCAAATACTATTTATCAAGTTAAATTATCCACAACCCACCACATAGTGAAATGTCTCAAATCATTCCAAATCCACTGCTTAGAAGCTAGGAGGACAAGCTGAATTCAATTTTCAGTTTTCACAGGGTACACATAAATAAATCCTGATCACATTTTCACATGAAATGGCTTCATAGTCTAAGCTGGTCTTGCTTAACCATCCTCTTTTCTCTGATCTCCAGCTACAACATCATAGGATCCTAAAAAACCAGCTCTCACTGGCCTTTCAATAACTTGCATGAGTTGTCTTTCCTCCTTCCTGATACACACACACAAACACACACACACACAAACAAACACAGTTTAGGAAGACTGAAAAACCTGAAGGCGTGTTTTCCACAGCACTTCAGCTCACGGTAATAACTTTAATAAAAATGTTGACTCATGGGAAAACAGTAGCCAGCTGGAATTGTAGCTTAGAAATGCAGCCAGAGCTGGTCCACAGATACCAGTTCCTTCTCTGAGCTTCCACAGCAGCTCACCCTTACCTTCAGGTTGCAGAATCAGAAAAAAATGTTTAAAGACGCTCCAATTAAGGTGTCATTTGTGGCAGTGATGATGAACCCAAGTCCAGCCCAGAAAAAACCCCACTGCCTCATCTCCTCTCAAGCCACCCTCAAAATGCTTAGTGTAGTGTCTGCTCCTATGGCCTTGCAGCCCCTAGCCAGGGTTTGTGTCACTAAAGCTTCAACCAGAGACACAGGATGATGAGAAGCTTTTCAAGATAATAGCCTCTTCCTGTTTTGTCCTCTGCCAAAAGCTCCCCTTCCTTAATTTGGTCACAAGTAGTTTCCTTTGAAAGGACTATTCAACTTTTAGAAAACCCACAAGAAGAAATTGGAAAAATTCATATATCACAGAAAATTGGGTACATGGCTGCTAATAAATTTCCTTGTCCTCTTATCTCTAGTCCCTCTGCCATGGGGGCGGGGGAGAAAGAATTGGAATCAGAATAAGAAATCTGAAATCTTATAGTGGTTCTTTTGGACCAGTCAGCTCTTGGTCAGAAAGAGAGAAGGGAAGGAGGTAGGCAGACCAGAGGGAAGGTTCATTAACCAACCCACACACACATACACACACAGAGGTCACTTATAGATTAAACAACAAGGAACACGAGCCTCAGAACCAGGGCTGGCTCGGACTCCCTGCCCTGCCCTGCCACTTCTCATGTGACAGGGAAGTTTCACTCATCATTCCTCATCATAAACATAAAATGGTGGAAGAAGGACAATGCTCTACATTAGTAAATGTTAAATCAATACTGGTGAAAGGTTTCTGTCTTCACCCATTTTCTATTGCTATAAACAAGTACCGAACACTGGGTAAGTGACAAACATAAGTATTTTGGCTCACAGTTCTGGAGGTGGGAAAGTCTGAGAATATGGTGTCAGCATTTGCCCAGCTTTTAATGAAGGCCTTGAGCTCCATCACAAAAAGGGAGAGGAGTGGAAGGGAAGGAAGCTTCCAGTTTGAGGAAACTCATCCCTCAAGACCTATTCTAGTCTCGAGAGAAGGAACATAGTCTCTTGAGGAAGATGTCATTCTATTCGTGAGGGTAATGCCCCATGATCTCATTTTCCTCCAGCAGGCCAGACCTCATAAGTTCTACCACCTTGCAATACCATGACATTGGGGACCAGGCTTGCAGTACTTGAATTTTTGAGTGATAAACCATATCCAAATGGTAGATAGCACCTAATAACAATTATACCAGGTAGCTTTTTTAATGATTTATTATGTGTGAGGTATTTGCAAGAATTTTAATTTGCTCATCAGTTCTGTGAGCCACATACTATCATTATCCCTGTTTTAATGAGTAGAAACCTGTGGAAGAAAGAGGTGTGAATATCTTGCCCAAAGCCACCTGGATACCAAGAGACTATGCCTATGCTTACAAGCCACCAGGTTTGGAGCAGGGCTGTCCAGTATGCCTTCCTGCAATAGTGGAAATTTACTATAATCCAAGCTGTCCAACAAGGTAGCCACTAGCAATGTGAGGCGGTGAGAACTTTATTGACTTTTATGTGACCTAGGCTAGCCTGGAACTCCAGGCTCAAGCAATCCTCTTACCTTGGGCTCCCAAGTAGTCAAGATTATAAGCATGTGCCACCATGCCCAACTTTGTCGAGCACTTGAGTGTGCCTAGTGCAACTGAGGAGCTGAATTTTAATTTTAATGAATTTTAAACTACCCCCATGAGGTTAGTTGCTGTCACCTCAGACGGCCCGGCTAAACTACTAAAGATTAGGCACACCCAAAGTAGGCAAGAGAATTCAAAAGAAACAATAATAAAGTTACTACTAACTTCTTTATACATGTAGCTATAATTTAGGTGTGGATTTTTATCTTATTACTAGTAATATAACATTGCCCTGTTATTTTCTAGTTGCCTTCTACTCATGTGGCAAACATTTTTGTAATCACAAAAGTATTTTATTTCTGAAGAGCCAATCAGAATCATAAAAACTTTTAAATGAAAGTTCCTGTCCCCATCACCCCTACCCTTCCCTTTCAGACCATAACATACAAATTCTATGTCTGAATACATACCTACATACCTACATAAGTGTGCTTAGAGGAATCAAAAAGGGGTCAATACCTTTACTGAAATCTTACTTCATGTTCACTTTCCATATTAATTACACACATTTCTATGTCATTCTTTGCTAGTACCCATTTCATTTTTTGGTTGTATTATCATTTATTTACTTACCTTTTATTGGTAGACATCTTATTCATTTTTTTTTTTTTGCCTGTAAACACCGCAGTGAGTGTACAATCACCGTGGAGTTGCAGTTTTGTAAGATCACTCCCTAAAAGTAGTTCAGCACACACTGTTGATTGTGTACCCCAAAAACATTCCCTTACCTCTTCTTTGCTAATAGCATTGATTTGGTCCAGGGTCTACCCCAACTCCTCAGGACTGGGACTTAAGTCCAGATTGGTGTAAGCAAAGTCAGATGATCCCATTCCCACTGGTAGCAATTGGTTAATTCCTGAGCATCCAACTCAATTCTGTCCAATGGGGAATAGCAGAAAGCACCTAGAAGTCCTGAAAAAACAAGGGGCACCAAGACATTCTGTGAGAGGATCATGTTGGGAGTTGCTTCACCTTTCAGACAGCTTCAAGAGAACCTAGCCTGAGAAAGAGGCAAAGAAGCTGAGGATGACAGAGAGCTGAGAGGTAAGAACTCAGATTCTTTAAGCACTGCTGAGCTGCTGAGTTAACCAACCCTGGAGTTTCCCTACCTCTAGGCTTCTTGAAAAGTAGGTTATTTTTCCATTCAGCCCAAGTTGTGTTTGAGTTTATATTACTATAGAACTAAGATTATTCTAACCAGTACAAATGGAACTGTTAGTTCAGAAGGAATGTGAAGATTTTATTGTGGTTGGTACCCCAAGGTCAACTCTCTTTAGCTTTCTAGCATGATGCAGAAGGGATCTCAGGGCTTGGATGCATCTTCCGGTCTCAGAAATGGCAGATTTGCTGCTTCATTAGATGATGTATATTTGAACAGCTCCCCCATCAGTATCCCCTGCCTATTGATGCACACAGATGATACCGAATTAAATATAAACCCAGAAGTCTAGCCAAAATAAAGATAAGAGATCTGCCAGAGGTGTGCTTCCTGGCCTTTTCATGTCACATTACACACAGAAAATTACACTGTTTTAGGGTACACTGGGGTACTCGGATAATGCTACTCAAAGTCAATAATGCTCAACCTAAGGATTCCAGGTGTCTCAGGTTGTACATGGCCATCCTGAGGATAGAAGAGAACAAGTTTTTAGCCCATTCATGCAACATGATCATGAGGTCTGCTATAAAAAACATTCTCATATTTCAGTGATTCTAAGCAACATATTTCCCCCATATTTTAACATCTCTGAAATCAGGACACGTCTTACAACGAGTAATGTTTTACAAATGCTGTCAGCAGGTGGAATGGTATCACTAACATTTTCCACTTGCAGAAAATCAGTCTAATAATCTTTTGTTGGTCTCTTCTGGAGAAGCCAAGAAAATCCCAGAATCCTGGAGAGTTATTGTTGAAGGGGTACAGGATTTCAGTTTGATATGATGAAAAAGACCTGAAGATAGATGTTGATGATGGTTGCACAACACATCATGCAACTGTACTTAATGCTACTGAAACATACATGTAAAGATGGCTAAAGTGGTAAATTTTATGTTGTATATATTTAAAATTTGCAACAAACTTTGCAGGCGTATCAGTGGTTTTGATCCAGAGACAACAGAAGAGCATCTGCTAAGAAAAACTTCCTGGACCGGTGTCCCCAATGGCACAGAAGACACCATGTGGGAAAAAATATGGACATTGGTGACTCTGAAGATGAAGTTTTAGAAATACTTCAATCAACTGATTTCTCACACAATTCTTTTTGTGAATGCACAGCAGTGGCAGGACATCCCCCCAAAAAATCTATCCTGGCAATTCTCTATTTGACCCTTCTGAGTCATTCTCCACCTTCACCTCCTGCCTTTGGCTGACTTCAAGGGCTGCACCCACTGGGCTCCTCTGGCCTCCAGTTGGGTTCAGCCAATGGGAAGCAATGGCAGAAGACTGGTGAAGAGGAGAGAGTGCAGAGTGGTGGGTTGGCATTGGCTGTATTCCTCCCCAAATGCAGAGATCTGGTTGGGCAATTGGCTCCTACAGCCTCAGCTCCCCAGGACCCGGTCTCTCCTCTCAGCTCTGGAGGGCTAGGCACAGTATCAGCTCCCACTCTTGCCAGAGCCAGAGCCCTTCACTCATCCTTGTTGGTATCAAACTCAAGCCTGCCCAAACTCTTGGTGATATTCCTACCAGCAAACCCTGTTCAGCTCCCACCTCCATGTATACTCTGAGTATATTTTGGCAATGGTTGACTTTTTACGTTTGATTAATGAGGATAAAATTTCCAGTATATGCCATAAAAGGTTAAAAAGATATTTCTAATTTTATACTTCTAGAATTAACTTGGGATTATGGCTAAACAAGTTTAACATTTGTAAATATTATACACAATGCAGCTGAGCACCAATTTTATTCCCTACTAATACTACCAGCAAATGCATATAAGGTCCTCAGGAACAAAATGTCTTGGACAATCCCACACCTTGCCGCAGGTCAGCAACCAAAAGGATGTGGGTGGGCTAAGATTGCAAGCAGGAAGACTTGCCGACCTAGGGAATGTTGTGGGATTATCCAAGACAGTTACAGCTCTCACTGTGTCTCCTGTTTTCTTAACAGTTTCATAACTGGCTATTCTGCCTTCATACAACCTACCTTCTCTCTGTTGTCAGAATATATTTTCTACAAAAGCAGAGCTGATTAGGCCATTTCCCTGCTTAAGGTCTTTTGTTGCTTCCCATGGCTTTCAGGATAAAGTTGAAGTTATTAAACATAACTTACAAGGGCCTTATGGTTTACCCCTGGCAACCTCCATGTCCCCATTTCCTGCTGCTCATCTATGTGTCCCTTAAGTCTGCCACATATAAAACTTGCTAATTCATAAACACATTATACTGTTGCATATTTCAATGAGTCTGTACTCGCTATTCCTTTTTTGAACTGGAATGCCTTTTCCTTTATTCACATACCTCTTAAATGTTGTTCAATATTCAACTTAGTTATCACATCTTCTGGAAAGCCTTCCTGGGTGTTCCAGGTTGATATAGCAGTACTCTGTGTATCACACCAAAATGGCTTAAATCCAGGGACTGAAACATGGTAGGAACTCAAAGGTTGTTGAACCAACATATTCATGCAGTTTAGTTATTTTCTACTTCTATTGTTGTTCCTCTCATTTTAGCAACAAAGACACTTGGGGGAAACGCCTATTCTTTTTCTCAGCATTCAATTCTGTTTAGTGGGAAAAGTGAGTAGTAAACTCAAAATAGTAAAATAATTCCCAAAGTAGTGCTACAACCACCTAAGAAGCTAACCACATGCTAATGACAGACTAAAGATTCACATTGAGCTAATATGCTCAGTGTTTTTAACTTTGAACCTACACTTCTGGGCTTTATACTACACCATAACCACTTAGGCACCCAAATGATATGCACTGTAACCTAACTGCTAAGAGCACAGATTCTGACACAGACTACCTGGTTCTTTTCTTGCTTCCACACTGACTAGCTGAGTGCCTGAGTCAAGTTATTGAATCACTTTATGCCTCAGTCTCTTTATTTGTAAGATGGGAATATTTATTGACCTCCTAGAATAAATAATTTAACATATGTGGATGCTCATAACAGTCCTCGGCACAAATTAAGTACTGTTCATTAGCTTTTTTTTCTTTCTTTTTTTTTTTTTCCTTTTTCCTACTAACTACACAGAGAGAATGGCAAATCTAAGAAACAAAGCCAAAGCCAAGAAATCATTTTGGGGGGACCCCCCTTGGTGAAGCCACTGTTAACTATCCTGGTGGCCATTTTAGAATCCTAAGGCTCACATCTAATATTGCCAGGGCATCGCCTTCCAGCTGGTTCCACCAAGGCTACCAAGGGTTTTTATTCCTTGCACAGCAGCTATGCAATGTGAGCAATGAATCCTTTTTTTCCTGTGCACAGTTTTTGTATTTCTAAGGTTTTCTGTGCCTGTAGTGCTTATTCCATGAAAGCTCCCTGTGTGTACTCTCCACATGAATATTTCAAGTCAAATAACAAGAGAAAAGTTTAGCAAAAAAAAAAAAAAATGCTTCCTGAACATCATGTGAACATCAGTAGCATACCTGTGGCTCCTGGGGATCCCAAGGAATACACTGTTAACCCCATCATCAACTATCTAAAGAATATTTGAGTACTTGGAGTTTTTTTAGTTACTCTTCTTTGAAATGCAAGGCTACCTAGAATCCCAGATATTTAAGGTTAGAGATACCACTGTTCATTGTATATAGATGAACCATGAAAGGCCCAGGGACATGGTTCTTTAGCTCCTGCTCCTTCCTTAGCTCCTACCCTCCTCCATTTCCCACCATCTGCATTTGAAAATAAAACCGCCTTTTAAAAGTGAAAAGCTACCTCTGTTTAGTGACATATTTTTCAGCTGCATCTGTCACTCAGTTCATTCACTTGAAATGTAGACAGGTGGGCCTGGCCCAAGCAAAGTAGGCTGTCAGTGATGGTTTCCTTTGGCCCAGCAATCTGGGTTAAAATAACACCCTGCCCTTCCCAGGATTCTTGTTCTCCCTTCTCTAGCATGCTTAACACCCTTCTACTTAGTTTGTATTGTCTGCCTCTTGCACAAGGATAACCTCCAAGATGGCAGGGATTTGGGCCTATTTTTTCCATAGCTGCACCCTTGGCATCTAGAATTACACCTGATACTCAGGCAGTTGGGATGCACTAGATGCTGACTGACTACAGTCTATGGGACAGTCTAGTTGACATCCCTAGACTGCCAATTTTCCCAGTTCCTTCTCCTGGCATCCTTGGCACCAGAGTAAACCATAGCCATCTTGTCTGACTAGTCCTTTAACCCAAGAAAAAGATTTCTAAGCAAATTATTTAATCATAAAGTCAAATGAGACAGAATGATGTCAGGACTCCAAACTTTACCCTTCCCTGGAGATAAAATTCTGATCAAATGCTTTGCATGGATGACCACTGTCCTAGTCAACCACTCCACTGTATGATGCATTCTCTTGCAGAATTGGTTTAAATTTTTTAGGGGTTCAGTATTTTCAGAATATCTTGTGAACATATTTATACACAAAAATTTAAAAAAAGAATCCTCTTTGCAAATAAGCGTACCTTACATCTCAAATGAATACAAGCAGTACCTAAATTTAAGTAATTTTATTTAACTGCATAAATATAATTCAGCCATCTTTTCGGTGAAGAGTTGAGGAGATGAAACAAAACAGTCGGAAAGGTAGGAGAATGGATAATCACCACAAAAGACAGCAAATAGGTTACCTGACAATCCAGGCACAGCATTCCTGTGAAAAGCAACCTGTATGCCCTCCCATTAAGGCTCTTACATCAAGCAACTGAATACTTCCATTGATCCTTCCTCCATTATCACCTCTCTCAATGAGTGATAAACCAGCTGGAATATATTCAAGTACAAAATGGTGGCTTTTTTTTTAAATGAAGGACCTCCCAGAGACACAAATAGGCAATCCAAAGCTTCTGAAGCATCCCACAGATTACGCCAGGAGGTCTTTTCCTTACCTGTCTGCAATACAGACACAGGCACCATTGCCTTTCTACTCTTTACTGTGTACCTGAGCCTGGCACCCAGCAGCACTTCACACATATATTATATTGGATAAGTGCCTCTGTTAATGAGTTTTTGTAACTCCTTGGATTGATCAAGAAAGGTTTTTTCCAGCCAAAAGCCCATAAAACCAAAATTGGGCAACATCCATGGAACTGGACTACAATTTGGTACCAGTCACTGCCCACTGCACAGAGAAGTCCATTGATGGGAATTCGCCAACCACAGCCCACATTCCATCAGAGCCCAGAAGAGCAGTTTCTCCATGTGGAGTACCTCACAGCCCCAAAAGATAAATACCCATACATGCACACACACACACACACACACACACACACACACACCTTGTCTGTCAAAATGTTATCTTGGAAAAAGTGCTTCCTTTCCATTAATAAAACCTACTTTTAAAAACAAAGTGAACTGGACCTAAATCAGAGACAGAATTGAGAATAGATCTCCGAACATATCTTGCAGGCTGTCATTTATCTAGCAGGTCACTTAAGTAAAAGGAGCATTATCCAGGGCTTTGGAACAAAATACATTTCCTTCTGGAAAAGTAGAGAGTTTATATTCCTATAATGTATTACACACCAACACACACATTAATAAACTTCTGGCTCACCTCTCCTCGCTCAAAAAGTGAAGCCAATCCTTTAAATATTTTTAAAAATAACCTTGAAAACCCTAAAGCTCATCTTTTGTTTTTAACAACTCCCCCATCTCTGCAATGTTGACTCCTCCAGAATAAGATGAAGAGATGGGAGGGTTATTTCCCCTTTAAGTGGTTTAATCCACTGAGTTGGTCAAGTTGCTGGAGCAACCCTAGACTCCCTTTTGGCCCCTCCCCCAAAAAAGGCACAGCTACACGGCGGCCACTAGAGCCACCCACCCAACCTGGCGTCCGGAGCCGTCGAAGCGGAGGTGGCGACCACAGCCTCTAGAGACAAAGTTCTGTAGTGCACTGACTTCTATCATACTCAGAGTCGGAGTGTCTCAGAACTTTGCCTCAAAAGACCAAACGGGCTGTCTTCCTCTAGAAGTATTCTTTTGCAGGTGTGCTTCTCCCAGCCCCAGCCAAGAAAAGAAGAAAACTCGTTACAAGCAGTTTAGCTCAGGATGCGACTGATAATGGAACGGGTCATTAATTAAGGAAAGTTGCTGCGGCAGTCAGCAAGAGCGAATCACCAACAGAAAGTGTTCTAACAGCCCGGTATGACAAATTCTGGTCGCAATGTCATAGCAAACGGACTGCTGGAATCACACACCCTCCCCTTCCTCCTCCTCACCTCCAGATTGGAACCGATTCCCCGTCGAATCCCTCAGTCCTGTTATTTAAACTTTTGCAAGCAGCTAATTTACTCCATCTTACTTGTGACAACTTTTTACCTTCCCATCTGGAAAGCTGGTAGGGGAGGGAGTCTACAGGAGGTCGAATTCCTGGACCAGGAAGACTGGAGGAGGGGGGAGTACAGGCCCCGGGAAGGCCCTGCAGACGGGACAGCCCAGGAAAACAAGGCTCTGAGGGCCTCCTCTTCCTCCAGCCATTCCCACCACTCTACTTCGGGTCTCCCGGCAGTCCGCGCCCAGCCCAGGGAACTCGCGTCTATGCAGTCCGGTCCCCTCTGCTCCACCCACTCACTCCTCGGGATTCTCCCTGCCTCGTGGAGCAGAGCTTTCCGCGGACCCCATCCACACAAATCTTACCCCTTGCTCACAGCACCAGCACCGGCCTGGGCTCCTCGTCCCTCCCCGAACCCCTTTCCCCTACGGCGTCGCCGACCACCCTCCCTCCCGACCCCAACAGGTCCCTCCCCCACGCGCGCCGCAACCAAACAGCTGTTGCGCCCGTGCAACAGGTCTGGAAAGTGCCTTCCCATCTTCCCCACCACCACCTCGCCACCGTCCCGTCCCCTACGACCCCCGAGGGCCCCGGCCGGGCGTGCAGTGGCTGCGTCTCCCGGGCCAGGGTGCACAGGCGGGCGAAGTGCGGGGCGTCCAGAGGCTCCCGGGTGCGGGCGGTGGCGGCGCTCCGGCCTTCGGCGGCCGGGACCCCTTGTGAGTGGCCCCTGCTGCGTCCGCCGCAGGCTCCCCAGGCGGCCCCTCGGGCGCCCGCCGCCCAGCACTCCCGGGCCGGCTCCCCCCCTTGCGCTCCGCTCCGTTCCCTTCCATCTTGACTTTTGCCGACGTGGAAATTTTGGGTTTGGAGACGACCTGCGCTCTTATTGGCTGCCGGCGGGCGGGGTCGGAGGTCACGGCTGCTCTCTCTAGCTATTCCGCGCCAAGGGGAGCTGCAAAGCGGCTCGTGTCAAGTCAGCAGGTTCCCTCCGCCTCCCCCGGGGTCACGTGCGCCCCGGCGGGTCCCGGAGACGCCTCCTTATGCAAATAGACCACGGCGCGCGGCCGAGGCGGCGCGGGGGCGGGGCCCGTCGGGGGCGGGACCGGTAGGGCGGGGCGCTCCAGGTGGCCACCTGGCCCGACGTCCTGCCCCACCCCCATCCGCCCCTAGCCACCCCGCCCAGCTGGGCCTCCAGCGACCGTCTGGCTGGACGCTGTCCTCAGCCAGCCCTGCTTGACCCAAAGAACCCGTATTTTGCAAGGTGTCCCTGAATGCCCGCTTCTTCCGGATCCCCGGCCACAGTCCAGACTGGGCCTGGGTCTCTTCTAGGCTGGGGAAGAAGCTGTTAGGACGCAGCCTGGTGGGCAGAGTACAAAATGGAAACCACAGAGAGGACAGTTTCCTCCCCCTGGCTGGGAGTTCAGAGAACTAATAGGCAAATTCCTGGTAAGAAAATTCTAAGACAAAGCAAAATCAAAAATTCATCGAAGTTAAAAAATCATCCTTTTGGGTTAACAGCCCGTCACCGATGAAAAGAGGCCAAGAGCTGACTAAAAGTAGCAAAAATGCCAGTTCTGATTTTTTTTTAACGTGTACAGGGACTAACCGAAAGGCCGGTCGGTCTCCACTCTGACCACTGCTGGGTACTGGGCAGCCGAGAGTGGAGCCTGGAGATAGATACCTTCTCCCCACATCTGGAAGGCGGTGTGACTCAGGGAGCTCCGAATTCCCTAGGAAGTCACGGGCCCAAAAACCGATCCACTCTGAGCGGGTTTCCCCAAGCACACGAAAGGCGTTTTTGTAGAAAGGGAATTGATGAGTAGCCACAGGACTAGGATGTCTTTCTTCCCTCCCCTCCCCAAGGCAAAGAAAGTGATAGCATTGCTAGGGTGGAGCCCACCGTGCTGACTCTTTGGGGGTTACTGTAAGATCTGCCAGCCTCCAGTCACCAAAGTAAGAGAAAAGGGCTGCATTTTTAAAGATATAAATATTTCTCAGAACTGACCTAGGCTTTTTCCCCCTTCGTGTAATAAAGTATCTGTATCATCTTTATAAATTTTCCATCTTAAATCTGGCCGAATGATACAGAAAAACAAAAGATACATTTTCATGGGAAGATTCTTACCTGGAAAATTCTTCCCATTCTCTCTTCTTAATTTACTCTTTCCTTCTCCCCATTTCCCCCCATGGAAAAATAAATCATTGCTCCTTCCAACTGTTTTATCCTCAAGGATCTCTCTCTCCACTCTCTTTTCTCTTCCCTCGCCACACAGCCTTGTTTATCTGACCCTTTCCGGGTTGGCAGGGGCCTCTCCCCGCACTGTCTCCTCCAGCCCCCCACCCCCTGCTTGGCCCAGGCCTGCCGGCAGGGCTAGCTAGGCCTCGGAGTTGGTCGGGCTCTGCCGCCCGTTCTGTTGTGTGCACTGGAATATTGATTTTTCAGTGTGTGTGCGCCGGCTCTGTAAAAATCAATATTTCAGTAGCTCGAGCACAGCGCAGGGCAGTGTAATGGAGCTGCTTGCTGATGTAACGTGCGGGGTCCACCCTCGCAGATTGAGGTCAGTCAGAAAATGGCAGTGTGCTTTCCTCTTTCATTGTTTGCTTCAGAGACAAGGGAGTTTGCAGACAGTCGTGTACATTAGATACCAGGACAAGTAACCTTATTGCTACTGGATATTTTGGGAACCCAGTTAGAAAGGCATAATAGGGATGGAAGATGCTGATTATCCCATCCAAGAACCTTTGCATACAGTAAGAGGGAAGGGGAGGAGTTATTGTCTGTCATCAATCCTACCAAGTTTCAAAAAGAGAAAATGAAAATAGGCTCTCTCTAGGAAAGGCTGGAGTTTATATGTTTCAGTTGTGGGTATGTGGAAGCTCATTATCCTACAACCCCACAATATGCTTCTTATTAAAAGGACAAGAGATAGCTTGCATGATTTGAAGGAAAAAATCAATAATGGTACAACCGTGGGGGCTGTCATTATGACACTTGACAGATGAGGAAAGATGGCTGGACTTGGGGTCAAGCCTATGAGTCTTCTCTGGCAGGCACCCCATGAGGTGAGCCAGGTGAGTCCCCTCCCTCTCCTGGCCTGCTAAGCTTCACCAGTAGCCTAAAGCCTTCCACTAAGTGACCTCCACAAAACCCCTTACTCTAACCTCTATGATTTCCACTAAAACCAAAAGATAGAATTATGTCAAGTGTGTATCACAGGAGAGAAAAATAGATTAATATCAAAATGTTGCAGTAGCAGAAGGTAGATATGTTCCTCCCTTAGCTGTATATTTTGTTTTAAATTGGATTGTCTTCCAATGCAACCTTTGGGAAGAGCATTTTCCGAAACATACTTTTGACCTAGCATTCCAAGAGGTTTTACTAAACAAATAATATCACTAGAAAGCTGTTCATCACTGTTAGTTTTCAATACATTACAAACATCCAATAATAGAAGACTTATTAAATAAAATATGGTAATAATATATATTTGATCCATGGAACACAACTATTTCATATGATGATGCTGAATAACTATTAAAATAATATGGGAGACCTGCATGTATTGAAATATGTGTATTATTTAAATCTACATCCAGCTATGTATACCTCATAATGGTAAAGAATATGGACTCTTGGGCCGGGAATTTAGCTCAGTGGTTTTACTGCCTGCTGTGCAAGCGCAAGGACCCGAGTTCAATCCTTGGTACCAAAAAAAAAAAAAAAAGAATATGGACTCTGAAGCCATATGGATTGGGTTTAGATCCTGTCCTTATCATTAGCTATCCATGTGACTTCAATTAGCTATAAGCTAAGTGTATTTACTTTTGTTGCTGTTGTAACAAATAAGCACAAACTTAGTAGCTTAAATCAACACAAATTTATTATCTTACTGCTCTGGTAATCCCAAGTCCAAAATGTGATTTACTGGGCCAAAATCAAGATCAGGCTACACTACCACCACAAGCTCATCGGAGCTAAGGACCATCTGTGTCCTTACCTTGTATAGAGGCTTCTTGAATTCTCAGCCCCAAAGCTCAGCACACCAACCTCTGCTTTTGTCATCGTATCACCTCCTTAACTCTCACCTTCTTATTTCTTTCATACAAATATTTTTTTGAAGACGTAAGGCCCACATAGATAATCAGGGTCATTTTGCCATCTCAAGATTCTGCTGCTACCTTGAGGTCAACCATTATTGGTTAGCCATCACTGGGCTCATGTCAAGGAATTGGCAGGATTGACTTCCTTTCTGAAAGCTCTAGAGGAGAATCTGTTTTCTTTCTTGAGTTTCTAGAGACTGACTGCATTCCATGGCCCATGCCCCCTTACCCCGTCTGGAACCTTTCTTACATAGCATAACTGACACCGACAATTCTGCCTCCCTCTTCCACATTTAAGAACTCTTGCAATTACATTGGGCCCAGCTGGGTAGCCCAGTATAATCTCCCTATTTTATCAGCAGCTAAATAGCAACCTTAATTCCATCTAATACCTTGATTCTCCTGTACAATGTAGCATAAAACATAGTCACTGGTTCCTGGGAGAGGAAATGGACATCTTTAGGAAGCTATTTTTCTGTGGCCACATTCAGGATATCGGTCATAATCTACATCATAGAATTGTGGGGAATATTTAAAAGAATCAATGTATGTAAAAGGTTTAGAACTATGGGTGGCATATAATAAGCACTGCATAATAATGAACCCATAGTAGGCATTCCATAGTGAATAGCTGTTATAGTTACTGTCTGGAAAGGAAATATAAAATATAAGCAGTAGTTGCATCTGGTGAGCGGGACTGATGTTGATTTTTATTTTCTTCATTTGGCCATTTTTTTTTCCTTTTTCTACCATGAACTTGAGTACTACTTGGGTACTTTTAAAACTTTAAATAAAAGGGCTGGGTATTTAGCTCAGTGGTTCTGCCCAAAGTGCAAGGTCCCGAGTTGGATCCCCAGTACCAAAACAAAACAAAACTTTAAATAAAAATGGACAAAGCAATAAAAGAAGTATAATAGGAAAATAATTTAATTTGAGGTTAAAAGGTCCAGGTGTCAGCATAGCTGCAAACATACATTGTGGAATTAGGTGAGCTGCTTTCTTTACCCTTCAGTTTTCCTCATGGGTAACATGAGAAACATTAACTGTGTATTTTGAAAGATCTTTCTGGTTCTAAATGCTGTACATCTAAAATTTTAAATATCAACAAATCAATAAATAGCTAACAACACTTCTTACATATAAAGAAAATTCCAAAGAGCCAGTAAGAAATGAGCCCTATAGAAGAAAAAAGATAAAAGGGCTAAACAAGCATCACACAGAAGAAGAAAAACAAATGGCAAATAAGCAAGGGAAAATATGTTAAGCCTAGTTAGCAACAAGGAAATGCAATTTAAGATTCAATGAAATAAAAAAAGACTCAATGAAATATCATTTTATAATCCACTAGGTTTTCATGCAGATGATGCAAATCATAGCATTTGGAGTCTTCTCACCCAATGGATTATTATGCAGCAATGAAAAGTTATGAATAAAGCTTAGAAACATGATGTTGAGAAAAAAACAAGTCCTTAGAGACAACAGACACTATGATGCCATTTTATAAAGCTTAAACACAAAGCTAAACATGTTCCAAGGATTCACCAAGTAGTAAAAAGCAGAGAAGCAATAAAGACAAAACGTAGGGTAGTGGTTACTAGTGAGAGGTGGAGGAAAAGGGGGTAGGAAAGGAACACAAAAGAGATGCATTGATAATTTTCCCCTTCTTAAGTTAGGCCTGACACTTAGGCGCATAGGTGTACACTTGTGCTAAGCATCATAAGTTGCATATATGGGAAAAGGGTAATTTGGAGGGTAGCAATGTGGGCCATGAACAGCACCCCAGAGTCACCATTTACACCCACCTGTGGGTGGGGCTGGGGGGGTAGACACTCACATGGTTGGGTGGAGTACCCATTTTACATATTCAATACTCACGGTAGAGTGACCTCCAGTCAGTTACAAACCACTTGGCACAAACTCTTTAGTTTGGGGAGCATACATTTTTTGCAACTTTTATCATTAAAAATTGCCAAAAACAAAAGGAAAAATAATATAGTGTAACTATGTCCTATAAAACTGCTATAAAAATTTATGTACAGTGTAAAGAAATCCATCACCCATCACCAATTTTAATAATTATCACCTCATGATGATGCGTTTCGCTTGTACCTCTCCCAATCTTCTGTCTGCATTATTTTGTATTATTTTGAAGCACATTCTCCATAAGATATAGATGTTGTGCCCCTAAAGTATTATCGATGACTGCATTGATCATATTGTGACATTGTTGCAAGCTATCTGTTTTAATCAATTAAATACACGAGAGGGACCAAATTCTTTGTACATGAGACTGCCTTTAACTTCCCAGTGGAGAGCTTTCTTAGACGTGGGCATATGTTGAATAACATACGGGAAATTATGCAGGACTTTAGAGTTGGGGGGAGAGGAGCAATAACTTAAGGAGCAAGTCTACTTTTCAAGGCTTCCATTATTTCTTCAAGCTCATCATCAATAGAAAGAGATAAAGAAATACCATTAGTTATATTGCAAGTCTTAAGTAGTATTCCTGGTGTTATCTCCCTAAAGCTGACCCTTGCCATTGATTGATAAATGTGAGTATCTGTTGGGTGCAAAACTTTACACTAAGCACTGGAGAGGAATAAAAAATAAATCAAATATGGCTTCTTCCTATAATAAAGAAACTGTCTGGTTTCTATTCAGGGTTCCTACAGTAGGAGCATCTTTGCTGCCCTGGGTGGGAAGCAACACTGACCATGCCTAAGTCTAAGAACAAGATGACTGAGGATGCGGACTGGTCACAATGAAAGGAGCGACCATGTGATGGGAGGAGCTTTGAGCTGAGTGATATCAACACCAGGACTATGGAAGGAAGAAGGGCTGGAGATTGAGTTCAATCATGGGACTGGCCAGTGAACATAACAGTGGGCTCAGAGGACATAGAATTGGAGGCTTTACTTTGGACCACTTTGTCCTGTATGTCTCTTTGCTTGGCTTGTCCTGCATTCTGTGAGCATTCTAGTGAAATCTATCCTGATGCAGCCATAGGAACTCTGAGTTGGAAGGCAGTGGGTGAGAAATACAGGTGGCCTGGGGACCACCTGAGGCTCACCGGGTGCCTGAATCTGAAGTCAGGTGGTTTTGTTGAAGACTATCCTTAACCTATGGAATCAGCACCAGTTAGTGTCAAAATTGCATCACAGCCTTGTACTCCTCTCTCCAAACCTTTATGTATTAGTAAAGGAGATAAGACACAAATACTTATGAACAACATAAAGAGTGTTGTGCGACAGTTAGATGCTATGAGGGAAGCCAGAGAAAGGAAGGAGAAGTCGCA